TCTGATTGTATGAACAATAAATGATTTCTTAAACATCCAAGAACACAAAATAATGTGTAAAATACAAGGTGAAATTACCCCCTTAGAGCTGCATTTTCTTATATGGACGGTAGGCTTCTAGCCACATGTAAGCTAATGAGCATTTAAAATGTGGCTTGTCCTCACCGAGACATGCTGTAAATGTAAAATATACTTTGAATTTTAAAGACATAATTAAAAACAAGAATGTAGCTAAGCACAGTGGCATAGGCTTGTAATTGCAGTGACTTGGGAGGATGAGACAGAAGGATTGCAAGTTTGAAGCTAACCTTGGCAATTTAATGAGACCCTTTCTCAAAGTAAACAAAGCAAAACAAACTGCTGGGATTTAGCTCAGTGGTACAGCATCCCTGGGTTCAATCCCCAGTATTTACATAGAACCAAGAAAAAACAAAATAAAAACCCAAAACAAGAACGTAAAAACATTAACATTAATTTTTAAACATGCATATGTTGAAAGGAGAATATTTTTTGGTATATTGGGTTAAATAAAACAATATGTTTCTTTTTACTTTTTAAAAATATGACTTAGAAAACTGAAAATTTCATAAAATCTATACTTTTTTTTTTTTTTTTTACTGGAAAGTGCCACCTCTTAGCAATAATAAATTTAAAAAATCACTGCCTTTTATTGAGGTTTACCATACTCTAGAGACACTGTTTTGGGTCTCTAAGATTTTTAATTGAATTATCACGGTGGTGATAATAGTTTGGAAATTATCATTGCCATTTTTCAGAAGGCAAAGCACAATTTAAATTACAAGTCCAAGATTAGGAGAAACATCACATATATTTCTATACGTAAATAGGTTACACATAAAAATATATGAAATTAGGAGAAACATTACTAACATATAAAGTAGTTATCACAAAGCCTAGCATATAGCAGGAGATAAATAATGATAATAGATAATAAAGAAAGTTAAAGCTCATTTGGGGCTTCTAGATAACTTTTAAGTGGATATTTCATAGCAGCAGTCTCCTTCCTTGTTATGGTTCATAAATAAGGTTGCAAGACCTTAAAGGTCTACCAATGAATAATAACCAAGAAAGGGCATATTTAATTTAATGTACCTAAATCTTTGAATAAAGATTTGTGTGTGTGTGTGTGTGTGTGTACGTGTGTGTATGTGTGAGATATTGGGGATTGAATCCAGTGGTACTTTACCACTGAGCTACACTCACACTTTGAGACAGGGTCTTATTAAATTGCCAAAGCTGGACTTGAACTTTCAATCCTATGGTCTTACCCTTCTGAGTAACCGGAATTATAGCCATGGGCCACTGTGCCAGGCTAATGACTTTTTTATTGTAAAAAAATATCGGCATATTTTTTAAATCTTTACAGTATTACAATTCATTATATTAATGACAGTTTTAAAATTTGAAAACTTAAAAACTATTATGTTTATTTCCCTAACAGATAATTAGAAAACCACCTTCGTTTTGTCAAGGTAAATTGTACTAATGTTGTTCCAGTTTTTTATCTACTTAGTACTTTGCGTTGTCTAAACTATATAATACTCTCCAGAAATCCACTATTACAACAATCTCCTTCCTGCTGCGGATCTACATTTCAGTTTATCCTTGTTATATGAGCAGTGTAACTTTTCTAAAACACAAGCTCCATTGTGTCAATCCCTTACTTAAAAACACCAAAAGAAAACTAGTGGATTGAAAGGTGGGAAGCAGAGTGAGGCCAGTAGTTTATAGGTGACCTTTGAAAGTTGACTTTCAAGTGGGAGCTTTTGCGAATGGGATTAATTCAATAAAAGGCATTGTTTTACTTGGTTCATGCCAGTATGGTTGGCAGATGAATTAGAGCCAGCAAAGATGAGTCAGGGCAATTGTCTGTTGGGGATCAGGTATACTGGGCTGATAGAAACAAAAATGTTTCTTGTAGACCCCGGGCCTTGCCAAAGAAATACTACCTTGCTGAGAGGCTCACAGTTTTAATTAGTAGAAAGCTCCAATTTTTTTAGAATTTGTAGGGTTAAATATATAGAAAATGAGTCAATTAGTTAAATGGGTAGCCATTTGATTTTGGACATAAAATCTGTATCTGAAGCACAAAAGAATTTCTGTGCTATGATTGAAGGGTTGCTGAGTCATTTCTGCATGTGAGACCTTGCCCAGGAACATCTGGACTTTTTAAGAGCCATAACTATGCTTCTGCCATTAGGATCCCAGGGCAGGTAAACCAGTTAAAACTTTGTTTTGGTTCTTGTTGGGGTTACCAGTACCCCGGGAGAGCAGATTCCTGTTTGGAGCTATGAACTGGCCAGGAAAATAAAGAGTCTGAAAATAATCAAAAAGGAACAGAAGACAATAGACAGAAATAGTTATAAAGGCAGGGCATTGGTGGGTCTTCCAGCCCTGATAGGAACTGGAACTGAACAAGGGAAAAAGGCCCAAATCCTTTTTTTAAGGGGAACTATGTCAGATGGGTTTCAGTGTGGTAGGCTTCTTGAGGAAAACAGGATAAAAATGGGGAAAACAAGTTGGGGCTTGGCAGGTTCCACCATCTCCAGGCAGCTGCGTTTGAACCTAGGGCTGTGAGCTAAGTCAGGGTACCAGCATGATCTGGGCTTTCTTGGATGGGGGAATTTCACCCAGGAGTTCCCAGAAAAATAGTCTCCCTGCCTTATGATATTCAAACAAACCCATAATTTATACACTGTTTCCAACAAGTTCTTGCTGTAAATTTGCAGAAATCTGTGATTCTGAAGTACTCTCTAAACTTCCAGAATTCCCTCCCAAGTCATTACTGTCAACATTTTGTTTCTCCCTGAGCTAGATAGATAGTCTTTTCAATCATCCTGGCTCATTTCAGGTGTGAAAGAAATGTGACCCTTGTCAGAATAAAAAGGGAGTCACTTTTGTCAACCCTAACAACAACAACCATAAATAAAGCTGGAGAATTATGAAGGAAGGATTTCTTCCTTATGATTCTATTATAATAATTATCATAAGAGATTCTGGCAGAGCCACAAGCTTGCACAAAAGCCACCATAACCATACACAAAAACCAACAAACCAAAAAAAAAAAAAAAAACACTTTTACAAGAACATCTGCCCAGTAACTGTTCATCTTGGACTGACTCCACTTTCTAAAATTTACCTTTGTGACTCAGATTGTTTCAAAATATCTGATGTAATCTTCATTTTTGTCTTTAAAAACATTCCCTTGGCTTAGGGATGCATGTTGCTCAGTGATAGAGCACTTTGCCTAGCATGTGAAGCCTTGGGTTTGATCCCCAGATCCACAAAACCAAAAAAACAAAAGCTAAAAATAAAACAACAAAAGTAATTCCCTTCCCTCAACTTACTAGAATATGTTAGTAAATCAGGCCCATTTTGCCTGCCATGCAGTAGGCCACTCACTGAAATGTCTAGTTTTGCAAAAGAGAACATGTTTTGTCACAATGTGGCCAAGTGTGTATAGCCAGGAGAGCAAGTCTCAAGTCTACTTCCAGGAAGACATGGTTTGAGATATGTATGAGCAGGTACAGGGAAAAGTGACTGGAGGTTAACTATGAGAAGGTGGAGGGTTAGGTCTAGGAGGTTTAATCAGTAACTAAGAGTGGGTGGTTTATTCAGGTTTCCCCTCCGTTTCAAATATTCCCATAGTTTACTATGGTATACACATTCCCATCAGAGGGCTGTTCTATTCCCAAATAAATTCACTGGAGAATCTCTCTTTGGTTGTTTTTTTATTTTAGTTGACACAGAGAACAGGCAATATTCATATTTGCTGTTCTTACACATATAATAAGACTGTGTTCTCTAGGAAATGGGTCTCTTGATTAAAGGAAAAAGAATACTCCTTCTCATTGCCTCTTCAGATCCAGGTTCAGACTAATCCCGTGGGAAATAGAAAAAAGCTAAGGCAAATGAAGCCAGAGGTAGTAGAACCTGGGAAGGAGGGAGTCCTTACAGAATCAAATGCCTTAAAATCTAGAAGCTTGAGTTACTCGATTTTCCCAAATTATCAGAGACTGGAGAACCATTTCAGAAAGAGGGGAGTTCAGTATAAAATGGGAGAGTTGGTAAAAGAAAGCAGAAGTTCCCTTTGTATATTTGGTATACAAATTTGGTATCAGATTATTTTTTCACTTCCTGTGAGCACAACTTCTTTAGCACCCTTCACCTGCATGCAGCCTGTGCTAATGTCTTTTCACTTTCTACTTCTGAACTGTTTTAAAGTAGTAAAGAGCTCCATTTTGCTTCCCCAATCAAGTAATTCCTGAAGATTATAATTTACCTTTATTTCTCCATTTTCTGAAATATTAAGTTCATACTTAAAATTACACCATTTAGTATGTAATAGGTATATAAAAAATGTAAGCCTACTCTCCTTCAATTAGATAATGTAATTCCTGAGTTTGGAAACTATATGTTAAACTTCTTTTGAATTATCTGGAAAAAAAATTATGAGCTCACGCTTATTAAATATACTCCCAGGTCAGAAGTTCTGCCAACTATGCAAGAACAACTGCTTAAAAGCAATGTATAACAGTTTCTCTTTCGGAATGCTTTAAACACTTTTAACTAAAATTTCATATAAACGTATCCATCCGTTTGACTCAACAAGATCGCCAAGTTATTCCTATGGCTGAGTTGATTGAAATCTTTAAACTTATTCAGAATTGTCACAAGAAGGGGCAGCCTTCACTGAGACTTCTAGCAATCAGCTCCCAAATTCGGTCCTCAGTAAGGAGCATCCTTATAATCATCCTATGATAAAGGCTTCAAATTTCGCAAACACTTGGGCAGGGTGTGAAACGATCATCTAACAATGACATTTGCTTACCCGTCAAATAAGGCAGTTGACTAGGGTCCCTGAGCTCACTACCGCTCAGATCTTAGCTCGGGTTCACATCATTAGGCAGCCAATTGAGCCGTCTGGGTGCCGTGCATCCTGGGAGTTGTAGTTTCCGGCTCTTTCCTGCAGACCACAAGCTCCACTGAGCGGCTGGAGGACGGTTGCCTGGTGTTATTAGCAAGCGGCAAGTATGGCTGTAGCACGCGCTGATGCGACTTTGCCTCCCGGAGAAGGTAAGGCGATCCCTACCCCAGAATCCCAAAGTTTACTCCACCCAGCCTAATTAAACAGATGCCTGGTAGAGAGGAGAAGCCTGGGTTTAGAGATGCAGTTCTGGACCTGTTCTTTTGATGCGGAGCTGTGGGCGACGCGCAGGCGCGCTGCCTTCTGGGAGTTGTAGTCACGGTGTGCTGTCCCGCTCCGCAGCGGCGCGGCGAGGGCTGTACTGGGGACTTCAGTCCCCAGGAGCCTTCGCGACGCCAGTCGTCCGCGTCCCGCGCTCCCAAGCCTGGCTGGGCGGTGGGCTTCGGGTTGCTCTGACCTTTCTTAAACGTTTACTGTGAATTCGGAATGCCTAAAAGGAATTGGCAGGATCTATCTGTTTTGCTTCACGCGTCCGTGTTCCCCCTCGGTTCCAAGAACGTTCAGGAAACATTTCCTCAGACTCTTCTCCGTAGACTGACTTGGAACACTTGGAAATGGCCATTGGCCGTGATAAAAATCTAGGGGTGATCCAGAGCCCACAGTTCTCTACCCCTTGTTCTGCATCCTTGGTCGGGTTTGATCGTTGCTGAGCAGAGCGCGAGGTGTAAGTGCTTTTGTGACCCGGAGATACCCCTGTGGAGTGCCGGACCTGGGCTCCTTTGTTTTGGTTACGGCTCTGAGGCTGGTAGCCGCCTTGTGGATCCGCGGCTGGACCGAGATCGAGGCTCGTCTCCACTACTCAGACCCGGGACTGGTTGTCTGGGAGCCGTAAATTCTTGGGGCAGGAGTCGGTAGACGGTTCTAAGAGGTCTGTCGATCTCTTGGAATAGTGTGAGGAGATTGCACTTTCCTGGGACAGCATGCAGCTTTCAACAACATTCCCAGAGGGGCTCAAGACCCCTCACATGCTAAAAGCCTTTAGGTAATAGGAAATGTTGAGGCCCGCCGGGAGAGCAATCACGCCTGATTATTTCCCGCAGTAGTCCTAATCTAGGTAGAAATTTGAAATTGGCAGTTTCTCTGGCCCCGCGCCTTCTGATGGTTGCTTTTCTTAAGAAATCTCCACCTCCATAGCCCACCAAGGCAATTTAACTGACGATAATAGCAGTTAACGGTTATAGAGCGATTTTTTATGAGCCCATTTTCTGAATGCTTTGCTCACCTCATTTGTGTGTGTGTGTAACAGCATTTATAAGGCAGGTGTTATAGGATAAATTCCCATTTTACAGAAATAGAAAAAGTGAGCTCAAGAGACATCGGAAACTTGCTTATCCAAAGTGGTTTACTGGTGGAGCCAGGATCTGAATGTCTGTTATGTTACCCTAAAGAGCTTTCCTCAGCATCAGACTAATGTAATAAGTGTATTATTCTATTTTATAGAATTAACTGAACTATGCTTTGATTTTCAAATAGTTTGGGCACTTACAGATAGGCCCAATCTGTTTAGGTTGTAAACAGATTGATATTTATCAAACGTTTATTTCCATAAAAAAATGCCATTGTTACGTACAAAATATGGAAGTAATAGCTCATACTTAAATGTGAACAATTTCAAAGGATTATAGAAACTTGAATATCACAAATCTAGTTGTAATTTGATATTTCTGAGGAAAAATTAGTTATTGAATCTGTGGTTATTTAGAACTCAAGATTGCTTTAGCTTTACATTTTTAAAAAAATTTTATTGATTCTTCTTACTTATATATGACAGTAGAATCCATTTTGATAAAATTATACAAGCATAGGATATATCTTATTCTAATTAGGACTCCATTTTTGTGGATGGGGCACAATAGTGGGAGCTTTAAAATTTTGATGTTTATTATGCTGTAGTATTTTTCTAACTTGTATAGAGGTTTTATTAGTATAATTCCATCCCTCTGCTCAGCTGTCATATTTGTTTGTGTGTTTTCTAACAAATTTTCTTCTCTTTTCAAGGATCAGTGGTCAATTGGTCAGGGCAGGGACTACAGAAGTTAGGTTCAAATTTACCCTGTGAAGCTGATATTCACACTTTGATTCTGGATAAAAATCAGATTATTAAATTGGAAAATCTAGAGAAATGCAAACGATTAATACAGGTGGGTGTTGCTATCCGTGAAATAGCACTAAGTTATTATTAAACAAAATAAAGCAATAAAATAACCTGACAAAAAGTAACTCTGCAGGCCTGGAAAGCGGTAAATGTTGCCTTAAATTTTTACATGACAGTTTCTCTTGAATATGAACATGTATGTGCTACATTTAGAATGGACTAGAGAAAGAAGCATTATTAAAGAGAAAAAACATTTTATGTTGGTAAAATACAGTGTTAAGATAAACTTTTTAGGGGCTGGGATGGTGGCTCAGTAGTAGAGCGCTTGCTTAGCATGTGTGAGGCACTGGGTTTGATTCTCAGCACCACATATACATAAATAAAAATAAAGTTCTATCAATAACTAAAAAAAATTTAAAAAAAGATAAACTTTTTACCTAATAATGAGAGTAAAGAGTTTATTCAACCATTCATCATCCAAGAAATGTTTACTGGGTCTCTGTCATGTGTCTCTCTATGTTCTAGGTTTTGACTCAGGGCTTACATTCTCAAGTTGTTGCTTTGTTAAAAATATCTTTAGAGGCTGGGGCTGTAGCTCAGTGGTAGAGCCGTGCCTTGCTTGTGTGAGGCAGTGGGTTTGATCCTTGGCACCACATAAAAATAAAGATATTGAGTCCATTTACAACTAAAAAAAATATTTTAAAAAAAGATCTTTAGTGATTGAAGGAGGTCTAATCACTCAGTTATACCTGTGTTGCTTAGGAACAACAACAAAAAACCAGTAATTATATTGCAAATAATAGATTTAGATGATATATGTGAAAGGTACAAATTGGGTTTGTGTGTTTTAAACCACTGTAATGTGAAAATAATATACACATGTATACACATATAGACATATAAACATACACACACACACACACATATTTGTTTGTTACTGGGAATAATGATATGTTTCCTTTCTACAGTTGTCAGTGGCTAATAATCGGCTTGTTCGGATGATGGGTGTGGCCAAACTGACTCAATTGCGAGTATTAAATTTGCCTCATAATAGTATTGGCTATGTGGAAGGGCTAAAGGAACTAGTACATTTGGAATGGCTGAATTTGGCAGGAAATAATCTCAAGGTAAACTGTGTATTTTATTTTAGTAATTAGGTTTTTTAGGTTTTTTTTTTTTCATTATAGATCTATTTTCTATAAAAAAGAAAAATTGAAGCAGTATAGAAATAAGTAGTTTAAAAAAAATGAAATTACTCCCATTCTCCAGGGATAACGTTTGTCAACATAAAGTTTTAAAAAATCTCATTTTTAAACACACAAAGCAGTATTCTTGTAAATGGGAACAAGAATCCATATTGTATTTAGGAAAAAAGTCAATCAAACAAATACAATGGTAAGGAGAGAGTTTATGTCCTGCTGAATTAAGGGTTAAGTAATATTTAATGGTACAATGGAGAATATACTGTTTTAAAAGTCATGATATCTGGATTCTAGTCCTGCTTCCACTACTTAGAAACTGTATAATTTTGGATAAGTTAATAAGTGTTTCTTTGTCTTACTTTTCAGTGGACTAGATTAAATGATAGTAATAGCTGCCTTTTGTTGAACAATTTATGCTAGTTATTCTCCTAGTGCTTTATCTGCTTTAGGTCATTCAATCTCACCACAGCCTACAAGGTAGGTATAGTTATGATGCCAATTGTATAGATGAGGAAATTGAAGCATAGAGAAGTTAAATAACTTGCCTAAAGTCATACATCCAGGAAGTTGCAGAGCCAGGATTTAAATCCAGGCTGTTTGGCTACATTCTAAACTTGTAAACTCTGTATTAATTTTCATGTTATTACGGTTTTTTCAGACTAAATATCTAGGATGGTATGAACTGCTTGCTAGTCCTCTATTCATAGAGGAATTGTGAGAGTGGAAATTTATAGCATGATAGTTTATTAAATTTTGTTAGCACTCTTCCCCTTTCTCTTGTTCAACTTTGCTGCCCTGCTTCTAATAATAATAAGATATGGTAGGTAACTCTTTCAGCTTCAGGAACTATGGAATAATTTTAATTTTTGATTTTGAGTGCAATAAATAATGTGATAATTTTCTTGTGATAGGCCATGGAACAAATCAATAGCTGCACAGCTCTACAGCACCTTGATTTATCAGACAATAATATACCCCAGATAGGTGATTTATCCAAATTAATATCCTTGAAGGTAAGCATGTTTTCTGTCATTTCTGAAATTGTATCCAAAATAACAAGAAAATATCATCTGATTAGCCTCAAATTAGCTTCCCATATATGAAGAACAGATTGTTTTTATTATGATAAGAATTCTATTAGAGTACCAAAATAAAGTATGGAGTTTTTTATAGTTCTTTTCTTTTTTATCCTATCTTCTCTCTTTCTTTTTATTGTGACAGAGTCTCAGTGTGTTGCCCAGGCTAGTCTCCAAATTCTCAAGCAATCTTTTAACTTCAGTTTTTCAAATGCTGGGACTATAATAATACCCCACTATGCCTGGCTTTGTTGTTAGTTTCTATGACTGATTTGTTTTATGTGAAAGTGATCATTGTAGCTAAGATTCTTATTTACCATTGTGTGCATATGATAGAATTTCCTTCATGCTCAACCAGCAAACATGCTAGTGGCTTTAGTTATATAGTAAAAACACATTAGTAAGGTTGAAAGTAACAAAACCTGAACTTGAGTCTTTTTTGTTTGTTTGTTTGATATGGGGTCTTATGTTTTGTTGTGCAGCTCCTGAGCTCAAGTGATTCTCCTGCTTTAGCCTCTTAAGTAGCTGGTGCTAATAGGTGCTTGCAACTTACAAGTGTGCACAATCATGCCTGGCTGAATTTAGTTGTTTTTTTTTTTTTAACACTTAGTGTTGCTATTTTTTTAGTAATAGTTGTTACTTAATTAACAATTAATTAATAGTTGCTACTTAATTAACAATTTAATTAATTAATTAATTAATTTCTCTTTACTTTAAAAGGTGAACACTTTTTAAATAAATATATTTAGTTGTAGAGTGACAACAATAACTTTATTTTATTTATTTATTTTTATGTGGTGCTGAGGATCAAACCCAGGGCCTCACATGTGCCAGGCAAATGCTCTACCACTGAGCTATAAACCCAGCCCATAGAATACAGTACTTTTTAATGAAGGGTAATGTATCATGCAATCAACAGATGAAATCACAGCTTCGAAAAACATATGTAGGCCTTTTCTGTATTTTTGATTCATTGGATAGTAGTACTTAGATCAGAATAAACTCATTAAACCTTAGAAGCAATATCTTATCTCTGTGTTTCTTCAAAAATCACTTGGTTTTGGGGGATGGGGGGTGGTGTACCAGGGATTGAATTCAGGGGCAGTTGACCACTAAACCACATCCCCAGCCTTATTTTATTTATATTTTTTTAGAGACAAGGTCTCACTGAATTGCTTAGCACCTTGCTTTTGCTGAGGCTGGCTTTGAACTTGGGATCCTCCTGCCTCAGCTTCTGGAGCTGCTGGGAGAAATCACTTTTAGCAACAACTATACTAAACACGTTGATGTAGACAGATACTACTCTAATAGATACTAAGAGAATTCAAATGAACTAAAGATAATTGAACATTTTAATTTGTTTTTGTTTTTTTCTGGAATGGAAACATGATTACCAGATCAGAATCCTGAATATTCAGAGTCTTGTTTTTATTCTTGTTTGTTGTTGACTTAATGTGAATCAGCCTCATATGCAAAATGCACATTCTGCCTTCCTCTAGCTTTTTTTTTTTTTGGTGTGTGTGGGTGGTACTGGCGATTAAACCCAGGGCTTAGGACATGGTAGAGAAGCACTGTAGTGCTGAGCTAGATCTGCAACTTTTTATATTTTATTTTACTTTATTTTTTGAGGCAGGACCTTTCTAAGTTGCCTAGACTGGTTTTGAATTTAATGATATTGCCTCAGCCTCCTGAGTTGCTGGGATCATAAGCATGCACCACTGCTCTTGGCTTCCTCTAGCTTTTAGTTATCAAAAGAGTGTAGTTGTAACCTATGGGCTATTTTATTTTATTTTATTTGCTGTGTTAAGAATTAAATCCCGGGCCTTGTGCATGCCAAGCAAGTGCTTTATCACTGAGATACTCCCTAATGCCTGGTTGATTTTTTTTTTTTTTTTTTGGTCTGTTTGTTTGTTTTTTATTTTATTTTTTTATATTTGTGGATGGTCAGCATGCCTTTATTTGTTTAGTTTTTTTATGTGGTGCTAAGGATTGAACCCAATGCGTCATACATGCTAGGCAAACACTCTGTCACTGAGCTACAGCCCCAGCCCTGTATGATTGTTTTAATGACTTTTTGTTCACTTTTTTCATCCTCTATTTTGGTGTTTTGAAGGAAATGAATGAGAGTATTCAAAATTGCTCTCTGTATTTAATAAGGTAAATCTCACAGTATGCTTGGACAAGTCTTTAACTTGGACAAGTCTTTAACCTTCCCTGAGTTTAAGATGCTGTCATGAAAAGACAAAGTTAGATCAGAATATATCCTAGGTCCCTTTGAAGTATTAATAATCTTGATTTATGTGCAATGACAAGTATAACAAAATAGATTCCTTTATTCTTGCATATGCCATTTTAATGTTGTCTGACAATTTATTTGTACTTTATTCATTGGTAATTCATACTGTTTTTACCTTCAAGACCCTGCTTTTACATGGAAACATCATCACCTCACTTAGAATGGCACCTGCTTATCTACCCAGAAGTCTTGCTATACTGTCTTTGGCAGAAAATGAAATCCGGGACTTAAATGAGGTAAAATTTGAAGATATTCTGTGGGATCCAGGATATTGGAAGGTCCAGGAGATGCATTGGAGAGGTTAGTGAGCTCACTTTTAGACTGTGAGCATCTTAGAAGAAAATCCATCAAGACGAAACACTTGGCTCTAGATAATCGTTATTTTTTCCCCCCACTTTTTCTGGATGTAAGTCACACATTAAGGTTTAATTTCATTTATTATATTGCAGCTATCACATTGGGAAGTGATTGGTGATAGTGAGACATCTACATTTCAAGGATTACTAAGGCACCCTATGTTTTCAAAATAGGAGTCTCTCTCCTAGGAAATAGTGCTGATACTTTTTAAGGGAATCTGTGCAGCAAGGACAAATGGTCATATTGTTGGGATTTTGGAAGTCTGTTGCTAATGAAAGAGTATTACTTATTGCTTTTCAGAACAAGAGGTAAATTGTTAAATTCTAAAATGCTGCCAAAGATGTGTAATCAGCGGAAACCCCGTGCTTGACACTGAATAGTCCATTTTGTTCAACAAATATATCCTTTGTTCCAGATCTCTTTTTTGGCATCTTTAACTGAACTGGAGCAGTTGTCGATCATGAACAATCCTTGTGTGATGGCAACACCGTCCATTCCCGGGTTTGACTATCGGCCATATATTGTCAGCTGGTGCTTAAATCTGAGAGTCCTAGATGGATACGTGATTTCTCAGAAGGAAAGGTGAACATGACCTCTTTAACATCACATAAATCATGGAAGACCAAAAAGATTTCTAATGTATTACAGATTAATAAATTGGATATTTCTGAAAATGTTAGTTTAGAAATTAAGAGCATTACTGCAATCACATAGCAGGCTATATGCTGATTATTTAGGATTGTCTCTCCCTTCTGCATAAGAGCAAGAAGAAAATGTGAGCCCCAGAAGTTGTGGGTAGTGAGTCTAACTTAGTGCCCAACCTTATAATAATTTAATTTTGAAGAGTTCTTTTGTTAATAAGTTGTTTGGAACTTGAAACAGTTTTGCATAGATAAGAGATTATAGATATTGTGGAGCATCTTTGATCAATCCCACAAAAGCTTATAACCTATTATGTAATTAAGGGAAATATTAATGATAATATCTTAGAACTTAGGGCTAGTGGTGTAGCTTAGTGGTAGAGTGCTTATTTACCATGCACAGGGCCCTGGGTTTGTCCCTAGCAACACATACTCACACCGCCCCCCCCAACAACAACAACAACAAACAACAAAACAAAACAAATAACAATAAAATTAGAACCCAATTACCTTTTATAATTCATGCAGACAGTTCCAATTTGGAACTAGTAGCAGACATACCAATTGGTCTTTCCCTTCTCATACCTGAGAACTGACAGAACTGGAACTTCCCCCTCTCTGGATCATTGATCCTCTCTGTGGCTTGGACTGGGACCCTGACAAGTGGAATCTTCTGGATACTGGTACAAGATCAGTAGAATCAACAATTTAGAAGAGTTAAGGAAATAGGATGTGGACAAGAGTCAGGGAATTAGAGGGGATGAGATGAAAGTTACTCTTTTTACCATGCCTCATTTCATTCTTTGCTCTTAGTACATACACACATGCATTCATGAACATAGCACTCACATTCTCCCTCACTTTTTAAAATCCTCTGTACTACAGATAGGTTACTCGAGGGGTTTCCTCATAGAGGATGAGTGGCATATTGTAATGAAATTTCCTTCTTGAAATGTCATGTAGTTGCTGGATAGAGTAGGGAACAGTGAGGAATGGCATCCAGGAACTAAATAGTGGTGATGCTGGTACAGATTAAAAGATATATGTTAGGTCTAGTTTGCTTACAAAATGGGTGGCTTTTCCTTTTTCCTGAAATTAGTGTTGCTCTGAGAAGAAACCTTATTTTGTTTCAAACTGATTGGTTCTAAAATCAAAATATAGGCTTACTTGAATTATCTTCTGTGGCTCTTCCTTTAGGAGAAAGAAGATATAATTATTGCATTTTTCTATAGTGGCAGCGTTTTCATATCTGAGAAGCATTTTTATATCTGGTAAGGTGGACAGAGATAATGACCTTCCATAATAGCCCAATTTCAACATGGCCAACCTGGTTTCCTTTATGTACCTTCATTTACTCTCCCTTTTTCTGTATTATTTTGAAGGAAATCTCAGTTTACATATCATTTCATCTGTGAATATTTCAGTATTTTTCTCTAAAAGAGCTTTTAAAGTGGTAATCACAAAACTAATATTACATCTCAAATAATTAAGGATAATTTTGTAATTACAGATATTCAGTCAGAGCTTACATTTCTAATAGTTTTTCTATTTTTTAAAATGGACTTTTTTTGAAATAAGATTCAAATAAGGCCATGTTTTGCAATTGGTTGATATTGCTCTTAAATTTATTTTTTTAGTGTCTTAAAATATCAATTTTATTTGTTTTTTAAAACACTTTTTTAGTTTTCGATGGGCCTTTATTTATTTACATGCAGTGCTGAGAATTGAACCTAGTGCCTCACCCTTGCTAGGCAAGTACTCTACCACTGAGGCCCAACCCCAGCTCAATTTATTATTATTACATGCTCCATAGATTGATTGTGCTGATTGGGTGGTTTTCACTTGGGATCATGTGTCCCTGCAGTCACATCACATGGGACTAGAATCATCTGAAGGCTTGACTTGATTGGATGTCCAGGATGACTCCCTTAATCCCTTAAATCTATCTTTGTTTTTTTTTCTTGGTTGTTGAAGAAATTGAATTATTTGGCCTAAAAAGTTTTCCCACTGTCTGCTCATTTTGCTGGGTATGGTTATTTCCTATGTCTTTAACATGTTCTTCTCTCTTCTGTACTACCTGAAAATTGGTAACTGGGATATGAAGATTTGATCAGGTTCAGGGTTTTTTTGTTTTGTTTTGTTTTGTTTTTTAAGGTAAGACTACCGCTTTGTGTCCTCTATTGGGTGACATCCAGTGTCTGGTTGTCTCTCATGATTCTGATCAAAGCCTAAAACAATTAATTGATTAACAGTTGTAAAATTCTAATTCTATCATTCAGTTTTTTATTATGAAGAATCTAGGTTACCCATTGGTATAGTTTGTATAAGAAATGATATTTAATTCTTGCCTTTATTTACCATTTTTAGAAAATGAGTTGGTGATTTACTGGCATTCTCTATGACTAGTTTTTTATTTTAAAAATTGTCATTATGAACTAATGGATTTAAATGTTGTTAATGTACAGAAGTACTTCAGTTTGATAAGATGAATGGAGAAAATACTGATTGCTTCTTTGCAAATAATTTAAAAATATTTGGAGTCATTAATTCAACCTATGGAAAATCCTCTAAGTAAGAATAAAGCTTTAAAACATTATTAGAGTAAGAGAAATGAGTCAGAGCATAGATTTTTTTAAAACTTGAATGGATTTATGAAAAATAGCCAATGGCTTTATAAAGGTTAATTAAGAAGGAATGTCATTGTTGCTTAACAATGTATTTTGAACACCCCAGTGTCATCCTCTCTTCTTTATTTCTTTCAATTCCAGTTTAAAAGCTGAGTGGCTATATAGTCAAGGCAAGGGGAGAGCATATCGGCCTGGCCAGCATATCCAGCTTGTTCAGTATCTAGCTACAGTCTGCCCTCTCACTTCTACACTGGGTCTTCAAACTGCAGAGGATGCCAAACTAGAGAAGATTCTGAGTAAGCAGAGGTAAACCCATTTATTTGTGGCAGTTGATGAATTCACAAGTGAAAATACCTCTAAGTCTTTTGTATGGTTAAGCCAGTGTTTTTGGCCTATATCTCCAGGCACTTATGCCCCTTGTCACTGCAGTAGTTCTGAATCACACAAGTGTAGCTTGCTCTTGGTATCTGTATTACCAATAATTTCCCCTTAATGAGGGAGGAGCCAAGCAATATGAGCTGGGGGAATGGAATTTTTAAAACTATGTACTTGTCAGGGCCTGGGGGTTATAGTTCAGTGTAGTAGAGTTCTTGCCTATCTTATTCAATCTCTAGCACCTCAAAAAAAAATGTATTTGACTTTTTAATGTAGGCGTGTCATAGGTTTTTAAAGACTAATATTAAGAAGTATAAAAAAAAGAAGTGTGGGCTGGGGATGTGGCTCAAGCGGTAGCGTGCTCGCCTGGCATGCGTGCGGCCCGGGTTCGATCCTCAGCACCACATACAAACAAAGATGTTGTGTCCACCGAAAACTAAAAAATAAATATTAAAAATTCTCTCTCTCACTCTGTCTTTAAAAAAAAAAAAAAAAGAAGTGTAACTAGAAGCATTTAGTGGTTACTTTGTTTATCAGAGATCCTGTATTTAAATATTTCTGTATGTGTATACATGTGTATATGAGGCTGTCTATGGAATTTAAAAATGTTTTAACCTTTTTTTTGTAGTGTTTCCAAATAAGACTATAATTTGCCAGTGATTAATGGTTCCTGCTTTGTAAACTTGTAAACTTCTACCTTTTTGACATTGTTACCTAGGAAGAATAAGAGCTTTCTCTTTTGTTTTATGCTGGTAACATCAGATGTTTTGATTTTTAGGTTTCACCAGAGACAGTTGATGAACCAAAGCCAAAATGAAGAGATGTCTCCTCTTGCTCCTATTGAAACAAGGGTACCCCTTGTACCTGAGCATTCAAGCCCTGTTCAAGATTGCCAGATAGTCCAGGAAAGTGGTAAGAAATTAATTTATTTCTATTCACTTTTCTTCAGGTCATTTGATTTATTTGGTATTGTAATATAGAATAAGTACATATTTTATAATTTCTTGTTTAACTTCACTGATCATTTGGATCTGCTATTTTATAAATGTATATGTGTGTGTGTGTGTGTGTGTGTGTATGTACATTATAATTATTGCATCTAATTTTAAAAAACATTTCAAGGACTATTAGCCTTTTGTATGGACTTGAGGGATTGAGTATTATGATTATTACAAAAATTCATATTCTTAAAAATGTTTGGTTTGATGTTTTAGGTATATTGGAGAAAATCACTGAAGGCATTTTATTGTATTTTATTATATTTCAAGAAATAGATTTCATTAAAAGCATACAACTAACAAAACAATTTAATTATTTAAATGATACTCTGTTGATTCTTCTAGAACCTGTCATCCAAGTGAATTCTTGGGTTGGGATAAGCAGTAATGATGATCAATTATATGCTGTTAAGAATAGCTTTCCAGCCTCTACACACACTACAAGATATTCTCGAAATGACCTTCACCTGGAAGACATACAGACAGATGAAGACAAGTTAAACTGTAGTCTTCTCTCTTCAGAGTCTACTTTTATGCCAGTTGCATCAGGACTATCTCCAGTATCACCTACAGTTGAGCTGAGGCTGCAGGGCATTAACCTGGGTCTTGAAGATGATGGTGTTGCAAATGAATCTGTGAAGGAGCTGGAAAATCAAGATTTGGATAAGGAAGAGGAAAAGGCTTTATGGGTTTCAAATGAGGATTCTGTTCAGATGCTGAAAAGTAAGATCAGTTCAGAGATAAATGAAAAAGCTGTGTTGTTACCTTGTCCTGCGCCAGCAATAATCAGTGCTATCTTGAAGGATGATAACCAAAATCTTACGTGTGTGTCATCTGGACAAAATGTTTCCCATACAGAGACAGATAGTGAGGAAACTATGTCTCAAACAACTTCAGAGAAATTTCCCTGCAGGATTTTAACCCAAAGATCTGTTGCTTTGGGACAAGATAAATGTACACTTCAGAAATTGAATGAAGCAGCCACAAAGCTTCAAGCCTATTGGCGGGGCTTTTATGCCAGGAACTACAATCCTCAAGCAAAAGAGGTGCGTTATGAAATCCGACTGCGCAGAATGCAGGAGCATATTGTCTGCTTGACTGATGAAGTAAGGAGGTGGGTCAAAAATCTTGTTGGGTGCTGTTTTGTCTGTTTGAAATATTGGTTTCTTAAGTCATTTGAACACTGTGCTGTTCTGGTCATGACACTTTTCATGCCATGTAGCCACTGTTAGCTTACTTGGGTGTCTTGTAGAATATACTGAAAGCATTTTTAGGGTACAGATTGTCAAATGCATCCCTATCCCCTTCAGAGCAATTGCTGCATGGATGCAGTATCACAAAATGTTGAATCAATGTGAGCTATAAAGGCATCTATAATTCTAAACATAAAAAGGTCCAGATGATATAGCAAATTTGGATAAGTAAAAGAGAGAAGATGAGGAAGTGTAGATGACATAGACGTAGAGAAAATAGCAGGGACTTAAAAGGGACTAAAATTTTGCAGTTACAATAGGAATTCTTTCTTTTTTTAAATTTTTATTTATTTATTTTTTAGTCATACATGACAGTAGAATGCATTTTGATAAATAATACATACATGGAATGTACATACATCAATCATATTGTCTATTTCTTTTTTTAATATGCATATATGTTTTAGATGTAGGTAGACACAATACCTTTATTTTATTTTTATGTGGTGCTGAGGATCAAACTCAGTGCCTCATGTGTGCAAGGTGAGCACTCTACCATTGAGCTACAGTCCCAGCCCGGGAATTATTTCTTAATTCCATGGCTCATATGATTTACTGACTACCAACCCAAGAAGATTAGGATTTAATTAGCATTGCAGCTAGCAATATTTATTCAAATTATCAGATGGAAGAGGAGAAAGCAGCAAAGGAAACTGAGAAGGGACAACCTGTGTGGTAGGAAAACTAGGAGAATAAGTGTCCAATTCCACAGGAGGAAGGTGTTTTAGGAAAGATGAAAAGTGCCTTAGGAAGGAGAGAGAACTAGACAGTAGATTTAGCAGTTGGAGCTTGTTGGTAATTGTGTTGGTGACCCTTAAGACTATTCTCAGGTGTTATGATTTGCTAATGTACTTACAGAACTCTGGAATATTCTTTTGTTCATGCTTATGGTTTATTTCAGCAAAAGCATACAGATTAAAACATCAAAGAAAAATGGCACATAGGGCAGAGTGCAGGACAGGCCAGGTACAAGCTTCCTTTTGTGTTCTCTTGGTTGTGTTGTACAGACAGGGCTTAATTCTCACAGCTATGATGTATGACAACACATACGAACTCTTGCCAAACAAGTATGCTCATTTTGAGTCCTGATGTTCAGTGTTTTTTTTTTTTTTATATATATATATATATTTTTTTTTGTAGTTGTAGATGGATACAGTACCTTTATTTTATATATTTATCTCTATGTAGTGCTGAGGATCAAACCCAGGGCCTCACACATGCTAGGTAAGCGCTTTACCACTGAGCTACAACCCTAGTCCCCAGGGTTTTTATCTGGGGGTCAGTAACAGGGATTGAGTGCTCATGTGTCTGACCTTAACTACTCAGACATCAGGTTCCTTAGACATCAGACTGATGCACTATGGCCTAAGTTCCCACGTGAACAAAACAGGTGTTCACTAGGAATCACATTATTGGCATAAACTATCTGTTATGACTCAAGACTCCATGAATACAAAGATACTCTTCAGACAGGATATTCCAATGGCTTAGATTGGAGGTTATCAACCAGGAGCCAACCAGGGGCAGGTTCTGTCTTTGGAATATGCAGGCTTGAATGTGTCAGTCCTGCTGAGTTAAGCCTTTGCTACACAGTGACTTTCCTACGAGCACCTTTAGTGGTACAGGAGGATGAAAGCCAGTTTGAAATTGGTTGGATAGTGAATGGGAGGTAAGAAGTTTAAAGAATGAGTATACCCAACTCTTAGGAAGTGTTTCTGTAAGAGAGTCGGTGGTTGCTAGAGGAGAATCTGGAGTTAAAGAAGATTCTCTTTTTTTAAAGATGGGAAATACAGAGTGTATTTAGGTGTTGATGAGAATAATTCAGTGAGGGAAAAGCTGATGGTGTGGAAGAAAAAAGGGAGAAGCACAGGATTGAAGTTCTTGGAGTACAATAAGAAGGGATCCTGTGCAAAAGTAGAGGAAGTGGCGTGAGGTAGAAGCAGGAGAATGTAAGGTGGTGTGTTTGATGGTGGGAGGATGGGAAAGTCCTGTCTGATGTGTGGTCTTTTTTAGTAATATATTAGTTGTGGTCAATATTTGAAAATGAGAAGAGAAGTAAGGGTTGAAATATGAGGTTTGAGATAGTCATCTTAATAGTGAATATATGAGAACTGGATGTTGTGATGCACCCAGCAACTGTGGAGGCTGAGGTAGGAAGATCATGAGTTCAAAACCAGCCTTAGCAAAAGCAAGGTGCTAAGCAACTCAGTGAGACCCTGTCTCTAAAAAAGTGCCCCTGAGTTCAATCCCTGATACCCTAAATAAATAAATAAATAAATAAAAATAAAGGAGGGTAAAGAACCATTTGAAAACAGCAGTGATAAGCAGTTTTCTGACATTGATGTACAGAAGGCAAAAATAGCTTCTACTTGAGAAAGTGATAACGTTCTCAAAAGTGGGTCTTCTTTGGCCAAGGAAAAATCCAAAGAGAAATTGAGTGGAAAGGGAGTTTGTGATCATAATTCAGAAGTACCTGACACAGCAGAATGTCTTGACGGAGCTGGAGAAAGTAGAGAATTGGGCCTGAAGTTCAGAAAAGGGCTGGCGGCATAGCTCAGTGGTAGAGAGTGCTTGCCTGACATGCATAAGACCCTGGGTTTGATCCTCAGCTCTGGGGGAAAAAAAAAAAAAAAAAAAAGTTTGGGTCAAAATGGTAGTGACAGTTGGATAACTGAGGGAATCTTGGTTTGGTATGGAAATGGCAGCAGTGAGGGTTTGTGACAAAATTATGGAGATGGCAGCAGTGAGACCAGAGCTAAGACTTCTTAATAAATAAGAGGAGTGATAGATCTCAGAGGATATGTCAGGGACTAGGGCAAACAGGAAAGTGAAGTTTGATGGGATTAATCCTGCTAGTCTTAGATGAGGGTATTTCAAGGTGTGATCATAAGTGTTTAAGTGTGAGCCTTAACTTTTTGGATGTTTTGTATAACCAGTCCTTTCTGCACCTCCACCCCCTTAATGTATTTGGCTGGGAAATTGAAGGCAGATAAAGAGCCATTTGATATTTTATTTTTAAATTTTTTATAATAGACAATAGTTTATAGAAGAATATCTGAATTTCAATCACATCTTATTTAGTTTTTACTTTGAGTCATAGTTTAAAACTAAGGTGTCAGTTTAGATATTCTAAAAGTAGGAGAGAATTATTAGATTTATTAATGTCTTTATACTGCATGTGTTTATACTGTAGTTATATTAGGTAGTACAGGTCAAAGCAGCCTTCCTTGATCAAAAATGTATTTTGAATTATTGTAGATTAAGAAAAGAAAGAGATGAAGAACATGTTAAAAAAATCGTGCAAGAAGAGGCTGTCAAATTCCTTTGGAACCAGGTAAACCCCCTTTTATTGTTAAGAAAGAATACTAGATTCATTGAAACAACTATAGAATAATCATGTATATTAAGTACCCTTTTTTTTTTTCTTTTTTCTTTTTCTCTGTTTATTTGTTTATTTTTGTGGTGCTGGGGATCAAACCCAGGGCTTTTTACACATGCTACCACTCTGCTGTATCCCCACGCCTAACCACTTTTTCTCAGTTAAGGGTGTATGTAGTTTTGTTCCTTTTGTTTGTTTTTGTACAGGGATTGAAGCCAGAGGTGTTTAATTTAAATTAAATGCTGGGGTTGTGACTCAGCGTTTAATTTCCTGCTGAGTCACAACCCCAGGCCTTTTTATTTTTGGAGACAGGGTCTCAATAAGTTGCTTAGTACTATAGTGACACAGTCACATCAATGTTTATAGCTCAATTCATAATAGCTAAGCTATGGAACCAACCTAGGTATTCTTCAACAGAAAATGGATAAAGAAAATGTGATATATATATACACACAATGGAATAATACTCAATCATAAAGAAAAATGAAATGATGGCATTTGCCAGTAAATGAATGGAACAGGAGGCTATTCTGCTAAGTGAAATAAGCCAGTCCCACAAAACCTAAGGCCAAATGTTCTTGGTATAAGATGCTAACATACAATAAGGGTGGGAGAGGGAAGAATAGAAGTTCATTGGATCAGACTAAGGAGAAGAAAGGGAAGGGAGGAAGGATGAGAATAGGAAAGACAGTAGAATGAATTAGACATAATTTTCCTATGTTCATATATGAATACACGACCAGTATAACTCCACATCATGTTCCACCACAAGAATGGGAAGTTATACTCCATGTATATATAATATGTCAAAATATATTGTATTATCATGTATACCTAAAAAGAACAAAAATTTAAAAAGTCACTTAGGGCCTCACCAAGTTATTGAGACTGACCTCAAACTTGTAACTTGGGAGGCTAAGGCAGGAGGATCACAAGTTCAAGATAACCAACTTAATAAGGCCCTAAGGACTTAGCAAGAACCTGTTTCAATATAAAATATAAAAAAAAAGGGCTGGGGATGTGACTCAATGGTTAAGTGCCCCTGGGTTCAATACCATGCCAACAAAAAAAGTATAGGTCCTATTATCAAGAATTTGGGATATTTTTCGGCATTTTAGGAAGTTACATATACTGTATTTTTAGATAATAATTTAAAACATGACTATATTGATATCTAAAATGAGAATTATGTTAAAGGATCTACTTAAACAAATAGGATCTAACCTGTCTTATTGAATAATTCTTGATGTATATTTTGTACATTATTGAACCCTTTTTCAGCTAGACAGGTACTGTTGTGCTTCTTGTTTTTCTGGTAGAAGCAAGAAAACTGCTTGGCCCATTCACACTGTCCTGGTGAGGGCCTCTTGTTACCAAGGACATGTTCTACTTGTGCTAGCTTCGTTAAGGCTAGGGCTGCTATGTGGGGTCGGGTAGTTTTTAAAATTCCAGTTCTGCTATTTACCAACCTTCATAACTGCTGGAAATAAAAGCTCAGAGAACTGTTTTAAAACTAGCGTGATTTAAATTTTTTTTTAGTTGTAGATGGAGACAATACCTTTATTTTATTTACTTATATGTGGTGCTAAGGATTGAACCCAGGGCCTCACACATGCTAAGCAAGCACTCTACCACGGAGCCACAACCCAAGCCCCCAAACTAGCATGATTTTTATCTTATATAAAACTGTACTCTCTGGTTTATAGGTAAGGTCTCTACAAGCTTGGCAAAAGACAGTGGATCAGCATTTAATTTCCTGGCATACTGATGTTCCTCCTATATCAAGCATTCTGGTACCATCTAAACCTCCATTATTCACCCAAAGTCATGAGCCTTCTTCTGATTCAAATTCTGATTGGTTCATTGCACATGATGAAGTTCGTCAAGAGAAATCTTTACCAGAATTTCCAGACTCTGGTTTTCATTCCTCCCTAACAGAACAAGTTCACCATTTGCAGGATTCTTTGGATTTTGAGAAAAGTTCCACAGAAGGCAGTGAAAGCTCCACAATGGGGAATTCCACTGATACAGTCAAATATGGCAAAGAGCCAGATGTAGGGGATGTTAGTGAAGATTGTGGTGACTGGAGTAAGGAAAGCTCAAATGATGAGCAGGATAATAATCTGCTTGAACAATATTTAACTTCAGTTCAACAGCTAGAAGATGCTGCTGAGAGGACAAATTTTGATGAAGGGACAGGAGATAGTAAGCTCCACATAGCTTGTTCTTTGGAAAAGTTAGATGCTTTGTCTGACAGTGCTTCCATAGGTGAGACTTATGGTGTATCTCCTACTTTGCAAAATGAAGTCAGCCAGACGCCAGAGAATTATAAATTAAATGCAGAAGTCCAAGAACAGCAGCCAGAATGTGATTCCACATTTCAGGTATTGCATGTTGACGTTATTGTGTAGCATGTCTGGCTTCTAGGGAAGCAGAAATCCAACATTTTCTTAATGTTCTCAGTTACCTTTTTTTTTTTTTTTTTCCTTTTTTTGAAGGAGAGCAACCTCTATCCATTTTGTTACTATTTATATAAAATTTGTATTCTTGACTCACTTTTCAGATTCTAGGTACTAAGCTGAGTCTTAATTTGATTTGCTAGCTTTATATATCTATAATGTACCAAACAATATTTATATTGAAAGCTATATGCACTTTATTTCTTAACAATTGAATTAACAATGTTTCATTTATGTAATTGTTTCCTTTCAAAAATAAATTAGAATTTTCTAAAGAAAATTGAAAAATTTACCTTAATGATAAATAGAATTTTGGTTCTTTTGTTCTGGGGAAATTAATTATATATTAAACAATATTTTATTATCAATTTATATCAATATAAATGATAACTGTGAGGGCTGTGAACTATTGAAATTTGCCAGTCTACTTAGAATAAGAACATGTTTCCTAAGACCTTTTCTTTTTGAGTCAAAAAAAGCCTTCTTATAAGCAAATTTAGAAAAAGAAAGTAAGATTATAGGATACTTATTTTTGTTTTGTTTTAGTTTGAACCCAGGGCTCCAAGCATGCTAAGCATGAGCTCTATCACTGAGCTATCTCCCATCCTCAAGATTATAGGATTCTTAGTGGGAATGACTAAATTGTCTCATGAAAAATTGTAGTTTATGTCATGCATGAGTTTTAACATATAAAGTAAAGTGTTCCATCCGGGATTAAAATCAAGCATACTTAAGAGAGGTAACCTAAAAATATTTCTTTTTGATATGAAGAAAGGAGATACTAAGCTCCATTTACTTATTAATGATGTCACTGAAAACATTTATCTTTTCATCAAGTGCTTTTTTACCCTGCTGATTGAGAATTAATGTGCCATTACATTGCCAGAAATTAATGTATGTTCATCTCTGTTCCTGCTTATAGTTCTTTATGTATTTCAACAGAGGTTCCAAGGCCATTCATTTCACTTTTGACCCCTGCCCTATAGTGAAGAATATTTAAAATAAGATTAGTGGTCGAATGTGAATGATTTTTTTTTTTAAAGATTTATTTTCTGTCTACTCTTTGAAAAAAAGTGCCACATTTGAAAGATAATGGTGGTTAAGAAAAAATAAACCTCACCTCACTTTAGTTATTTAAAAGAATATATGTATGTAACTTCAGGAAGACTTAAGACTGTGTTTTAATGTTGTAGGTAGGTACATCTGTAAATCAAGGATAATTTTTTGGAAGCTTAGTATTTTACTCTTTTAGCACATTCTAATATTATTGAATAACACATATCTAATTTCCCTTAAACTATGGACATGTACCTATTTAACACTATGATAACTCTTGAGTGTTCTCTAAGTTTAGGTGCTAAATATGTATTCATAATTCTCTTTAGAGCCATTAGATCCTCTTCTTTGAAATTATATGAAATAAAAACTTCTGATCCTTCAAGAATAAAGTTGAACTGGGTGTAGTGGCGCATGCCTATAACCCAGCAGCTCAGGAGGCTGAGACAGGAGACTCTCAAGTTCAAAGCCAGCCTCAGCAAAAGCGAGTTGATAAGAAACTTAGTGAGACTCTGTTTCTAAATAAAATACAAAATAGCACTTTGCATGTAGGTCAGTGTTTGATTGTCCCTGAGTTCAGTCCCTGGTACCAAAAAAAAAAAAGTATTAATAAAGTTGAAGATCACATGCTATAGTTTGTTGATAGTTAGAAACATTTGTCTAGTATAGTCAGATGTATTTTTCTCAGTTTATAAATAAACGCAGGTTGAGAAAGCTTGGATTTCATTTTCTGAAATCTAGAATTCCTTGAAAAGGAATTGTTTTCTGTTTCTTATATGCAAAACAGCAATCTTATCTTCAAAAGGATTTTTTTTCCCTATGAAGCATGTGTAACATTGACTGCATGTTAAATAAAAATTGAATTTTTACTTTTTGAATAATGCTTATTATCTTTTATGGATGAATTTTATGAATGAATTTTAATTTCTTCTTAAATATATCATATTTTTCTATTTGTAAAGTGCCTCCTTTGCTGCACATACTTAACTAGAAAAACCAATTTGCACTGCACTTTTACCAAAATACTGCTTCATGGTATGTTGATTTTTCAGAAAGCTTCTGAAATGTCATGCTTCAGTATTACTTAAGTAGGTTTCTGCTAACATCTTTTTTTCTCTTTTCTTTTGTTAAGTAAGGGCAAATACAGCTAAATTTATTTTATCATCAGCATGTCACCAGGATTTTCTTTTTTGCCTTTGGTTTGTTTTTCTAGCCCATAAATATTATTCAGCATTCATTATAATAAATTTGGCAAATTATAATAATTTTTAATATTCTTCTTTGTGTTTTACTTTTTCTAGCATTTAGAAGTACAAGAAAATTAAATAGCCAACTCTCTTAACTAGACAGAGTATGTTGAATGTAGATAGAATGAAAATAATGTAAATTAGAATGTAGGAAAACATATGAGTTTAGTGAGACTCTGTTTCTAAATAAAATACAAAATAGCACTTAATATAGACTTAATACATTTTGATGGGTTTATAATGTAATTTGAATATCTAAGATATTTGGTTTTAACTCTTATGATGTATTCATTATCTTGACTGAAGAGGGAATAGGTCTGGTAAAATTTATGAAGTTGAGCTTTCAACATGGTCATTTGCCACTTTTCTAAACCAGAGAGGTTTTGTTCAGTTGTACTAATTTAATTCACATTAGTTCTCTTGATTTTTGGAAGAGCCTTAGTAATGTATATTTATATAATACATAAGATTTTCTCATAAAAGGCTGAATTTGATCTTATTTTATCTTCAGTTTTACAGAACAACAGTTTTATAATTTTAATTCTCCTGGTGGTTCAGAAAGCTTTAATCATGACAGTTGATGATGTTCAATTAGTTTGCTTTCATAAGTTTAATTATAGAAGACATCACAATACGCATATTTTAGAAAGGTGTTTAGCTACACAATTGTTTGTATAAATGTAAATAACTATTTTTTAATAATGTGAGTGCCATTCTTGAGTGTGTTTTTTCTTTGTTTTGGGTTGTTTTAAATATATAAATACCATCATAATGTATTTTTCTGTTATCTACTAAAAGAGATCTAGTTCGTTCTTTTTTTTTTTTTTTTTTGATACTGAGGATTGTGAATCTTGTGAATGTTATCTCTAGTCCTTTTCATATTTTATTTTGAGACAGGATCTTGCTAAGTTGCCCAGGCTGACCTCAAACTTGTGATTGATCCTCCTGCCACAGCCTTCTTAGTCACTGAGATTGCAGACATGCAGTGCTGTGCCAGCCAAGTTCTACTTTTTGTAAAGATTTTCAGAAGATAAGGCTTTATATGTTATATTATTTCCTGTGGTATGTTTCTTTGTGCAAAGTTTTCAAATTGGATTTATGACATGAATAATATAAATGAGTCTGATCAATTTCCCATTCATAAAAAGAGAATTCATTGTTTAATGTGTATTTTATTTTGCCACACCCCTTATTAAAAGGTATTTATTATACTCTAATGTTTTAAATTTTAAATATGTATGAACACTTATTCTGAAGTGAAACAGAAAGGGTCTGTAAGGAACATTCTAAACTTTTTTTGTTTTGAGAAGGGTCTTGCTATATTCCCAGTTGTCCTTTAACTCCTGGGCTTAAGTGATCATCCTGCTTCAGCCTCTGGAGTAGCTGGGAATATAGGCATCTAAATATTTTATTTTTCTTAATTTTTTTAAATTGTAGATGGACACAATACCTTTATTTTTATTTATTTATTTTTATGTGGTGCTGAGGATTGAACCCAGGGCCTTCAAATGTTGTGGGGCAGGTCACTTAGAAAACACATCAAGTCCCAGTTTTGTCCAAATTGAAGAATCTTTATTTAGCTGGCCAGCTGGTGACTGCTCTTTGTAGGACCCATAACTGTCTCTGCAAGGAACAGCCCCAAGCCTGAGCATTTTAGGATATTTAAAGTTAAAAATCACATCCGGGTTGACATAGCTGCAGGCAAGCGGGTACAGAAGCTGAATTGGGCAGTTAGTGAGACAATGCAGTGGGTACATTGGTACTTCCCACGGGACTTTCCAGGTTGGCATAGCAGTAAGCAAGCAGAAGGGAAGGGGGTCAAAAGGACCCTAGTTGAGTACAAGTTAGAGAATGGTTACTAATGTCTAGACAATCTCTGACAAGGTACATTAACCAAGAAAAATGGAAAGCAAAGAGAACAATTTCACATCGTATAAGAATTGCTATTTTGTGTTGCCAAGTGTGCTATGCTAGGTAACTATTAATGGGTACAGAGGTGGGGCTTTCCCATGGGAGAAGCATTTCTTTCATGATATGGAGTCTCAGGGTAAAATGGAGTCTGTTTGGTCATTGCCATATAGCCTGGCCCATAACATTCCCCACTGGTTTTATGGAACTAATCAAACCATTGATTAATCATCATTGGTATACAGTTGATTATAGTGAGTACAGAGGACCATCTGTTTTACAGAATTTACTTTTTATATATGTCTTATTAAACAGTTGAAAATGCAGGGTCCAATTAAAAACCCTAAGAGGACAAACAAAAATGGACTGGCTACAGCTGATATAAGAGTAGTTAGCCAAGGGGACCAAGAGAACAAATTTTGATACCAGTTTCCTCATGTTGTCTTGCTTCTTCCCTTTCCTTTAATCGCTTTCTGATTAGAGATAGACTGTCTCTTACCATTATTGAGTGATTAGTATAGAAGCAACATGTTTCCCCCAATGCCATACATAGGCTTCCCTGTTTTAAGAGCAAGAGATCTAAACCTCTTCTGTTTTGTAATACCACTTCTGCCAGGGAATCAAGAGAGGTCTCAAGTCTGTTCACTGATTAATAGTTCCCTCAGATCCAAATCTATCTGTTTGTTCAGGGCTTTGGAATTTTCATTTCTAGTTAAAAGGGCTGTTGTACCCAGGGTCTGAAGATCCCGCAACCTTTGGGCCCATTAGTAGGGGAACTAGTATAGAGGTTGTACTTCTAGGATGGTATATGAGCCCCAGATGTTTTTGTCTAACTTCTCGTCTAGCTACCATTATAGTAGCACACTTGGGGAATAGTGTGAACAGTCACACAAATTTGTTCCATCTTAATGTGCCAAAAAGCTGTAGGACAAGCAGGGAGTTACTCTT